TTTTGTCACTTAAATGACCAGAAAAGTGCAGTATCACTTACTTTGATTTAAACAGCAAAAGGCACTCAAGGCTAATGAAGACAAGCTGATATGTTAACAGGTTTTCAGCAAGTGCATGGTTCAGAGCAGAAATCAAATGATGACAGCGTTGACTAACAGGAAATAAAAGTGTAGGCAGACCAATGTAAGAAATAGAATAGATGCAGATATTTGCATTTCCTTTCTCATGGCATCCATGGCTGGAACTCCTTTTTTTATGTTTTAAGCCACTTTTTAAAATTCAGGAGCTTAGAGGCCTTGAAAATACCATCTCTGCCACTCCCCATCTCTACAAAATTACAGCTGTAACAGCAAGCTGGATTTAGCAGGTTAAGGAATATCTACATGGAGATTTAACTGCAAACCTATGCCTAAAATCAAATACTATGCTTGAAACCAGTGCAACAGGCCAGCATATTTTACATTGTGATTTTTATTTAATAAGTTCGTAACACCTGAAGGTGTGATGGCCACCTTCCAGCGCTGTTGATGTGACAACTTCTTTGACCCAGAGAACTTTCAGTGCAGTCACAAAGCAAGAGACAACCACATAATGTAGTACACGGAATAGAACAGGACGAGGTGTACAGTGAGAAGGATGCATGCATGTTCTGATGGCCCTATTAAACGCATATGAAATAACAGTTTGGATTTAACAGGGACCTTTGGATTTTGAGGAGAAAAAATACACTTCTCGAAGGAGGCACAGCGGCAGTTTTAAGTATGGTGGGAAGAGAAAGCTGGTTTGTACTAACATTTTCATGTTAAAAAGGCCAGGACAGAGAACATACTGTATGTGTAGATGAAGAGGGACAAGAGGCAAAACAGTGCCAGAACCATCAAAGACATAGGACCATAAGTCTGGAAGAGAAGATATTCCCCAGCTCAGTAGCGTGACCACAGCAGCCTATAACCACTTTCAGACATACACAAGTGTTTGCTGCTCATGAGCGCATTGCTGCAAGATTTCTTCATGGCGCAGGAGAGATGATCTGCATATCCAATGATCAACACAAAGGGTAACTAGGATGGTGGCTTGAGCAAAAAGCCAAGACAGAAGCAGAGGGAAGGCCACGGGGCAAGGAGTGAAAGCTAGACAGGACTGGGCTCGTACACTATGTAGGAGACCCTAATATCTGAGCAATGATATAGCTCCTTCCCGGCAGCAGGCAAACGTTGTGCAGTACTACTTCTCTCCCTTCAAAAACGAGCCTTTACTCCTCCCTTTGGAGCAGCCTCTGCAAGGTACTGGGCTGCAGAAGCAGAGCCACTGGCCTACTTAAGGGTGCCCTGTCCTCAGGCAACAGGGAAACCCAGAACTTCAAGAGTTTCTAAAAGTGTTTGTTTCTAAGGGATAAAAAAAGGAGGGGCTCTCTGGAGCACAAGGAGGTTTGCTTTATGAATTTGGGAAGAGGCTCACTTCCACACATAAGAATAACTGCACCAGATCACACCAAAGATCCTTCTGAGGCCAGTATCTCATCCTTGGCATTGATCAATAAAAAATATGTAGAGAAAAATATAAAACCAGATCAACTACAATGTCTTCCTACACCACTGTTAACCTACAACAAGTTGTAGTTCAGGGACCTCCTGAACCAAAGTCGGTGTTTTTATATTTAACATTTTGCAATAGGATTTTCAGGCATGAGTCTGAACATGCTTTTTAAACCCATGTGAATTTTCAACATCAGCAACATCCTGCAATAAGGACTTCCACAACTGAAACACACAGTAGGTCAAGAGCATCATCCCCCTATTTGCTCTGACTCTGCCTCCGGCTGGTTTCATTCAGTGCACCCCACTTCTTGTCTGGCAAGGGACAGCAAACAGTCATTCTCTGGTCACTCATGGTTTTACAAGGTTCTGTCATCTACTTCTTCAGTCATCTTTTGACCAGACTGAAAACTCCTGGTCTGTACATTACTTCGGATTATCATAGCTGCTTTCGTCAGCAGTTTATCCAGTTCTGCTGTATTCTTTTGCTCTATAAAAATGATCTTGACTCTTGTCACTGTGTCACATTAAACCTGAGTTTATATATTCAAATCCTTTAAAAGTTTCTCTTCCCTTGCCCAGAACAGATATTCTGGTTGCTGGGTGCAATTCCCAGACCTCCCTGCCAATCTTTTTTTTTACAACTGATGGCATATTAGCTGTCTTCTGCTCCACTGCTATTCTGGTGGTTCTGAACAAGCGGCGATACAGAACAGTCACTCAACTAAAGGAAAATAGGTAAGGTGGGCTTTAAAGGAGCATACACCAATTTCCACCAGGAAATTCCTAGTCCTAATGAGTCTTCTGCAGACGGAAAGAAATCTTTAATTTTTCAGATTCTGAGGAAGAAAATGAGAAAATTATTCTGCTTTCCCCATCTATCCCACTCCTGGCTGCTTTCTCCTGGGGCAACAGCTATTACGTCCTGTGTTTTACTACTGCAGTTCTGGTGATGTGAATCAGAAGGTAGAGGCACAGAAAAAAGACTGAAGGAAAATATCTCCACGTGGTCAGATTTTCTCTTGTTCAAGCCTGCACAGATTTTCTCTGTGCAGACACTAAGGGAAAAATTCATCAAGATCTACAGGTGTTTCCAGTTGTGCCAGAACAACTTATTACAAAACACCTGGCAAAACCAGCAGCTGACCATGGCTGGGTTCCTGTCCACATGTGTAACAAGCTGGTGAGCTTGCATCATCCTAGTGGACAATCCATATATTAACTCAGCTTTACGAGCAGAGTTTTCACCACCTCAACTGTTCTGGGACTTCCTCCAAGTTCTGCAACAGGACTGTTGGCTTACCAGGTAAAAAGAGGCCCTTCCCCACAATGTCTTCACTGGATAGGGAACGAGTTATCAGTGTTCCTCAGCATCATGTTCACTCACTCCACGTGAAATTGAAGTGCTACGCATTGCTCCTGCAGTGCTGCCAGTAGGATCTAAAAGGACCACTGCCCTGAGGAGCATCAGCCTCATCTCTCACATTTGCAGTGATTATAGGCAGAGTCATTAGGATGGGAAGGGCAGGTGTTCATGGAGAAATCCCTGGGCCTAGAGAGAGGGCAATGCCAGAATAGAAGGGGGAATGGAGGTTGCACTGGAGAGGGGAGCCAAGGCAGGTCCAGAGCAAAGCAGAGGAACAAAGCCAAGCTAGAACAAGATTGGGAAGACCCAACTGCAGCAAAAGCCAAGAAGCTTTGAGAAGCCATTCTTCTACAGCCAGGATCAGCTGAAGCCCTCCAAAGGAGGCCTTTCTCCAAGAAGTCCAGCAAATGTTCTGCCATGCATGAGTGAAAGACTGCTCTCTCTCTCCGCTCCCTGGGAGTGGCGCTGCAGCTGGAGCTTGCAGTTACTCTTATTTTTTCCAGGAGTTGGATATGAGCAGTGCCAGTGCTCCCGTGCTGTGTGAACAGGCTTAGTAAAAAACACAGCACAGGTGCTTCTTGAGAGAATTTGAAAAAATAACAGCAGAATCCCCTCTCCAGTTCACACAGAGCTTCTGAGCTGGCCTATGTCCTGGTCCCATGCAGAAGGGCATGCTGCACTTCTCAGTGTGCAGGAATTGGTTTTCCAAGCCCTGAACAGGTTTGGCAAGCCACTGAGGCTACCTATCGTGTTCCTCTCCTCACCCAGCTGTCTGCTACTATACCTACAGCTGAACTGGCAGAGCAGTACTTGTGTTTCATCTCTCATCTACTTCCAGCAAAGTCTCACCAGTTTAGTTAGAGAAGTAAGGCCACAAGCAGGCACCTTCTTCCAAATTTAGCTGAAGTGGTTTTGGCCTTCAGATGTCCACCTCCCATCCACTCCCCAAACCAGGTTAGCACCCCACAGTCCCACTGTTGGAGTGGTTTGAGATGGCTCTAAATCATGTCAAACAAACTCAGAGGATCTACTCAAACTGCTCAACCTAATTCAGACTTGTGGGTGGACATGTATCTGCGAATAAAGTGGTAAAGCTGAGAATAAAAATCATCTCAGCTTTCAGGTGCATGTCTGTCTTCATGCCTGAAACTAAAAGAGCAGTTTTCAAGCAACTACAAGGAAAGACCAAAATGTCCAGAGCTCAGTCCATCACAGAATAGACCAAATATGCCTGACCTAACCACTGTGTTTCACTGCAAGTAAAATAAGGAACACTCATGAAGAAACTTCATGGCACTGCATGGAGCTGGTAACTTTCCTTCAGTGTGATGCTGAGTAGTTGCTGGTGGTAGCATTTGGTACAGCTGGAACTGGCAAGGCTGCCTAGTCATGCCCTTATTCTCCATTTTTTACTCTACTCATGACATGCTAAGATAAACCTATTTAGAGATACAGTGGGTTCAGAGTGGAGTGTCCAAACAAGGAGAAGAAGAAACTAAAGGTTTTGATTAAAGAAGACAATACTCTTATGCGGGATACCAGAAGACTCAGCACAAAGATATAAACTGTTTTGGTCCAAGTACAGCACACATATACCTCCTCATGACACATACTTCATTACAGCTGACAGAGCTACAACATGCCTGAATGTGGTCACAGTGCAGACAACAAACAGAAAGGACTTCCATCATCTTTAATACACAAGCAAAGCCTACAGAGACCACAATTCCCTGTCTCAATATAACTGGGTAAGTTGCCACAGACATTTGTTCATATTCGAGATGAAAAACAGCTGCAAGCATCTCTTGACCACTGCTGGCCATATTTATCTTGTGGGTTACACTTGGCCAACTCTGATTTACAAATCAAAGCAAGTAAATTTTTCCCCCACTCTGATACCAAGTAACAGACTTACTGACGAGCCCTTACTGGCAACCCAGTGGATATGAAAAGAGGATACTTTTTTTAAAAAAACAACAACAACAAAAAAAGACCAACAGAACAGACAAATACATGAGAGAATCCCCCAATATTTCCTCAGTACATTGGGGCATACATGCTTGCAACATTGACTCCATAAAGCTGTATTTTATACAGCTGCCTTTTAAAAACCGCTGAACAGGTGATACTCCTTAGCTGGCCTCCAGGATTCAGTTCAGCAGATTTGCAGTTACACAGTCACACAGATTTCTCTTTTCCACCTGAAGAAGCAGAGTTTCTGTCTATAAGAGGGGGGAACAAAAGCAACATCAAAAAACAAGCATGAGTGCCACAAAACTAATTAGCTCCCGAAGAAAAGTCCACTTTACTTTTGTTCCAAGATTTGGGATTGGTTGCATTGAGATGAGGCTTGAAGTAACATTCAGATTTATTGCTTACTGCTCTGCAAAATAATATAGCTTCTGCATGATTAATTGGCTTACTAACATAGCAATACGTTCTGTGACATGGAGGAATTCAGTCCAGTACATATTCATGTTTTTCACATTAGTACATCCAGTATGTGCCTACGTGTTGCTACTTTTGTTTGAAGTCATTTGTCTTTCTTACAATCTTAGTTCAGCTGCACAAACTGGAGCATAAGCTCTCAAGTTTGTGAGAGGTTTGAAAAAAAACAACCCAAACTTATCAGAAATTCTCTTTTTACTTACAAACAGACTCGAAGAATTAAATTTAGAGTATTACAGCCTGGACTCACTGTTGAAAGTTACACAGAGAAAGTAAGGCATAATTTACCTCTGTTTTAACTTCTCCTGCTTCACTGTTGTTATTGTTAATATGCTGTTGGGGCCTAAAATAGACGATAGGTGCAGAGCTGGCACACAGCCATCACAAGCCAAACGTGATAGGATTGCTGGCTTCTTTAATGAAAGGGGTCCCAAAACAGTGAGAGCAGAGGTCCCCCAGTTGAACTGGGGTTCATCAATATCAGGAGATCATTACTCCCCAAAGAGATTTTCTGGAACAATGAGGGTGGATTAGGAACTTCCCAGAACTGGAGCCGGTTGTGATGGTAAAGGCCTGCACCCTCTCAGCCTGCTGTGCAAGAAGGGGCTGAGAACCAGGGAAGGGACAGCAGGGCTGCATAAGGGAAATATGGGAATCCTTCCTCTCTAGCACACACTGTTTTTCCTGGCTGTTTGGAGCACTTGTGGCTTCAGTAGATGCATGATGGAGCACAGAGCTGCTTGACATCAACGTCATACCTTCTATCTCAATTTGTCTATCATGAGCTGAAGCTGTATCTAAGAATCAGTCTGATTCAAGAGAGGACTACTACCCTGCTGTCATGGGACTAACTGGGAAGTCTGCTCACCAAATTAATCTCCACTGGTGTGACCAGCTACACAAAAAAAGGGCATGTAAAAACCAGTGAAATCCATCCTTAATCTGCCTGTCTTGTGATTTTTGTATTTTGTAATTGCCACATGAGTAAAAGCTGTGTTTCAAACCCTGCGTTATCCACTGACCCACATAGGCTAAGGGCACTTAGAGCAGATATGGGCTGAGGCATACTCCTTACCACCTGCTGCCTTAGTACGGGGAAAGCTATCTGTTGGTTAGGTTTTTTTCCTCGGCTGATAAATCACCAGACACAGCTCTGTGATACTACACTAAATCAGGTATGACTTTTGATCACTTCAGCTACCTTGCAAGACTGGAAAGGTCTGATCAGACTTTGCTGATCACCTAAGACACTTAATCAACAACTTCTAACCATCTCCTTGACATGATTTGCGATGATTTGAATACGGGAGGTTGACAGCACGCCAGCAGTGTTGGAGTTAAGCCCCAAGGCTGCTAACCATCTTATATATCTTTAATAACATTTTCAAGCCTTTGTTTTTACTTTCATGGGCACATCTAACTTAATGTGCTTTGAACATTCCAAATAACCATTGACAGTGTAGAAAGGAATAAAGAACAAAATGAACAGCACTAAATACAGCTTTGCTGACTGTTTTGTGAGCATGATCACAAAACCATTTGCACAGAGATTTGTTGTTATCCCCTGGTGGGTTAAAGTATTTTTTTAAAGGAAAAAAACCACAAACAACAAAACCCACCACAAAAAAAAAAAAAAAGGCAGGGTACAGATTCTGAATCTACAAAAAAGCTGATAAGTTCCAGCTAAAAATGCAGTTCCTGAGCTCTTTAAAGTTGTAATGCAATGTCTACTGTTAGACTCTGAAAAATGGGTTAGAATTTTGAAAATAAGTGTCCGTAGTGCAGACTTACAGTGAACTGTATAGCCCATGGACTGGCTTTGGTTTACAGGATTTGTTTTATGGCCTGCTCCCTGCTGGCCTCTCTCTTGAGTGGCTTTCAGACGCAGTAGGGAGCTGGCTGAATGGTTTTGATGGTAGCAGCTCCCTCCCAGCAGTACAAGAACCCTCTCCCTAGTTCATGATCAGAGCTGCACCTGCCACATACGGCATTTTGGCTGAGTGGTGAATAACAGACATTCTCTCAAAAGATTGCCCAGAGTTGTTTTCTGCTGTTAAAACAACTAATCCAGCCTGCAGCCTGCTTCAAGGGGCCAGCAACAACAAAAGGGTGGAAAGCAGTATGCAAGGGAGCAATCATATCTGGTGTGTGCATGGGCACATGCAGCTAGCCTCTCAGAGGTGGTCTGTGACCCTTTTTTTACTGTATGAGTGAAATGCCGCCAGCCTGTCAATCAGTAAGTGATCACCACATCAGTGTAGGTCACAAGCACGTTTAGTCTTGTAAAAGGAAGCAGATCTAGCCTATGGCCCCCATGAAAGGTTACATGATATATGCTAGAGTCAGCTTGCTTTGTGAGATACTGTGCAGATCAATAAAAGGCCAAATTAAGCATGCAAACTCTGAGTTGTGCAATAAAACTATATGGTTTCCTCTGCACAGAACTGCAGAGTGAGATTTGCAGGAGGATTTAAATGGGAATTTCCTCTCTAAGCTTTTGGGAATCTCTCCGCCTCCAACACAGTTAGGAGCTGCTTAGTCATCATCTGAAAATCTTGCCTGCAAACAAAAGGGAGTTTTTCAAGGAAATGAATGTCTCCAGTGGGACTATTAACAAAGGGAATTGTATTTTCAGGGACAGAAACATTTGCCCCACTAAGAAGCAAAACAGACTAAAATAGTCAAATGTAAAACATATACATGGCTGAAAGCAATTGTCTTAAAACTCCCACTTTGCATCACATTGGCCCACAGCTGAGTAATAAAACTACAAATTGAAACACTGTAGAAGGCACTTCCAAGAAGTCCTCGACTATTAAATATTTCCATGTCTTTTGAAGATGTAGGCAGAATTCCTCGTTTAATGACTCAAATAGGCCTGTCCTAGTCCAGGGGCACTGAAGAATCTCAATTTGGGTTCAACTACTTAGATATTAAAGTGATAAAAAAGCCATATGTTTGGTTTTGTGAGAATATAACATGGAGCCACATTTTCAGGCTTGCTGTCAAATCTACAACTGTGAAACTCACTAATAGGACATTCCTCTCAACTGAACCTTTTTTGTATCCTCATTTCCTCTCCTTGGTTGTCTTTTATTTTTAAAAAAATACATATTAAAATACAGTTGCTATCTTTGGGGATCTCATTGCTACCTTCTTGCTTTGGATATCTGTAATTAATAAGGCTTCTCTCTTGGTCTGCAAGCTATAACTGTCATGAAGCTTATTGCCAGAGCCAGACAACCAGATAAGATTGTAGTAGTTGAGATATTTTTGAATCGAGATTTAGAAATTCTGGGGAAAAGTTCAAAAGTTTGTAAAAGAGGAAAAGGTATGCTAGAACTACTTTACAGCACAATCTGAACATCTGATTTGGGCTGTATACAATGCACAGCAGATGTATTCATTAACGAGATTTCTTCATGAAGGAGCCCAAAATGCATTTGACCTGTAATTATTGAACAGATTTTGTTTAACTGTAAATGTGCTACATACCAATCTGGTTCTGCTGGAACGTTTGTTTGTCTTTTTGTAGTATGTCCCAATTCAAGGCATCTTCATTTCTGCACCTGCATTTTCACCTAAATGTCATGGACCCTGCTCGGAGTTACCTCAAACCGTTCTTCAAAGATGACAGTTTGCAGGCTTTGAACTGTGAATAGCCTTGACCATAGATTAGAATAGCAAGAAAGTTTGAGTGTCTTCTGTTGAAAAATCTATGCAAGAGTGTAGATGCAGTGTTTCAGCTAAAGGGTGCATAGGAGGTGGGGAAAAATTTACCCTCCTGAGACACTGCTGTCTGACAGCAGCTGAGATACAGCTAGTCACACATTGCAGGTTGCAGTAGCAAGAGACAGATTAAACTCCTCTTACAGAAGGAAGATACCAACCTTGGCAAATTCTCCACACTGACTGCAAGCCAAACAAGTTTTGTTCCCTATGCTGCTCTACTTTGTGGCATTTTTCATCATTATGGAATCAGAGCAATTTAGAAAGTATCTATGAGATGACATTTCCTCCCTTAGCCTCTCCCCAGAGGTAAAAGCATGTGCAGGGTAGTATTTTATTTTAGCAGGCTTTTTGTGTGAGTTGGCTCTCTCCTTTTGAGTAATAAATATAAATGATGCTCTCACCTTACTCCTCCTAACATAAAAACAAAGGCGTGTGCGCAGCATTTGGAATGAGAATAGCAGCACTAATGGCTCTAACTTGGGCAAGAGAAGGATAACTTGGGCAAGAGAAGGATAGAGGGCTGAGGACTGCCAGCTCAATCTTTCCTAAGCTTCCTAGAGTCCCTGATATCCCAAGTCAGAAGAATTCCACAGATTATTGTCTACAGAGGTGAAATGTAATTACCCAGCATCACCTCAGAAGATAGGACGGTACAGTTGATTGACAGTCTTATGCAAAATCCATCCACCTTATCTACTTCTATCTACCGCATTTTCTTCCACATTAAAAAAAAAAAAAAAAAAAAAAACCACCAAGAAATTGAATGTTTCCTTACCCGTGTGTCTAGATTATATGCTGTCTTCTTTAAATCCTGCAGAGCCCTCTGCATGAACTCGAATGCATGGCAGTCAACACAGGGACGGCCTAGGAGAGCATTTAGTAGACAATTGTGACTATATGGCATTAAGTATTAAGTTGAAGGAATAAACAGTGATTTTGAGTATGCAGAAGAGCTATAGAAAAGAGTCCACAGAGTAAGTACTGATGCATGTCCTCTTGAACAAACCAGGTTATTGTAAATGGTTCATCATGATGGTCCACTCAGTCTCTCAATAACAAACAAATAACTTCAACAAATTTGCATTTAAAATTTTCTTCCTCATTTATTGCTGTTCCCCTTATCCTTCTCTTGTCACAGTTCACAGTGTGGAATAACCTGAGTCCTTCATTTTCCTCCACCAACTGTGAGCACACTTTCAACTTCATTTTCAGATTTTTCAGATTTTTCAGAAATTATCTCTGAAACCATGAACCTGTTCCCTGGAAAATCTTGTCTCCTAATTTCACAAATTTGAGCTCTAAATAGAAAGCTAATGGAATAAAATTGACTACATTATCACAAAGAGAAATCACTTAGCCTCTAACTTTGAATATGATATAGCTTTGTCCAAAGCTAGTGAAGCAAGCAGCAGATAAACGCACTGCCCTGTCATTAGTAGGCATTGCTGATAAGCAGAACTGCTACATTCTGGACTAATTGCAGTGTTTAAGATAGTATTCCCATATCTAGATATCCAAACTGAAGGTCACAAGGCTTGCTTTGCCGTGATCATCATGTAACACAAAGCTATGCCCTAACAGCAGTACTGAGACAGAACAAATATAGACATGACGAAATGTCTTTGAATCGCCAAACTCTAAATATGCTCTTATTTGCTTCTCAGTGCCTGTGCCTCTCTGACAACTTCATAGGAAATATTGCGCAAGTGAGAACTCCTAAGCAGAGGTTTAGTTTGGTTTTTGAAGTGTGGTAAGGAAGAAAGGATGAAACCTAGAGTGATGTTGGGAAATCCTGCAGTGTCTGTCAGCCTATTTTGCAAATGCTTGATATTTGACTGATTACTACATGCCTCTGATAAGATGGAATATGAGCTTCCAGATCATGAACTGTGTGCTAACCAGCAGCCAGGAATCCTGCTTGCTAGAGAAAAGGAGCCTGCCAAATTCTTTAACTGGATAAGAAATAAAAAAGAGATAAAAAATAAACATTGAGCAGTATTAAAGACCTCCTCTCTCATTGTTGTACCACCATCCAACATTAGTGCTATTACATTTGCACCAGACAAAAGGAGAGGACAGCATTTTCCACATCAACAACTTGATGCAAGGACCTGTTATGTTTATGACATAAAATAAACTGAACAAAGATCAGCAAAGGAGAATTAGGCGGTTGAAGGCGGCAAGACTAAGTGCTGACAAAGTGTGCTTTCTTGGCATCTTCACTGTGAATTTTTTAAACCAAAACTACTGACTTTAATACAGCAAACATTACCAAGAATGAAAGATACAAAGAAAAGTTAATGTCAGTTGAAAAAAGCAAGTCTTAATAATGTCTCTGAAAAGCAAACAGGGTGATTCCTGGCATAGAATGGGCTAACACACTGAAAGGGCTGTACAAAAGAAAAGGTGCAGAACAGCAGCAGATTTCAAAGACAGCAACTGGCAGGAGACAAGGGTAAGAGACTGGAGAGCCTTGGATGCAGGATAAAAAAACTAGTATACTATCAAGTTGTGGTTTTAAAACAATATAAGCAAGACATTTCCAAAATAGTTTGATTTGGACAAGCTTCAGTCATTTGAAGTCCTGCAACATTGAAAGTATAATACAAGCTATATGAGAGGACTGTAAGGTGGTACGTACTTTCAGCTGGTATGGCTGTTCCTGCTTCTTGATCCGATATAACAGGCTCCAGGAGAAGCAGTGCAACCACAAAAACTAAAGGAACTGTAAGGACCACTTTTCTCAGAAGGCAGGGTGCCAGCATCTTGGAAACAGGTGCTTCTCTGTTTATCAAGAGACAGAAACAAGTCAGTGAGGAACATTACAGATACGAGGGTTTTGTTACAAAGAACTTAGCATTCCTGACAGCTAAAGCATTGGCAGTCTTCCTTTGAAAGAAAAAAAAATATCAGAAGATCTAGAGGATGGACAGAAGTTCTCTGTACTTTTCCAGCAGTGCATATAAAACTCAGCTGGGACAGAATGTTCCTATATGAGAAGGAGATGATCAGAAGTCCCTAGACAGTTTTTGGTTTAATTTGCAAGCCAGGATGCCAGCAACTTTGCTGGCTCTGTGACTCCAATCTTTTTTTCTAACTACACAGCTCCAGACCAGCACATGAATCTGGACAGCTGGTTCATTATTAGACTCTGGAATCAAAACTGCACGGATCATAGAGCTGGCTGAAATAGACCTGAACCTGGAAATGAGGTTTTTAGCCACTGGTTTGCTTTCCTGATGCACCCTCTTTTCACAAGAATAATAACTAAAGCTAACCATTATCATTAACTACATACCACACATTGTAAAAACTTATCCTTTATGAAAGTAGCTGAAGGAAAAGACTTTTGTTAAACCTCCACTAATTCAGAGGTAGAATTTCTAATGACAAACACATCAAAACTTTTTGACCTTCTGTTTCCCCTCCTAATTTGGGCTTCAGATCTTTATTTGCAGCCATCCATTTGTTCCTGAAAATCACAGCCAGGCCACACCATGCCCTGAAGACAGGTAAAGTCTGGTCCAGCAACAACTCCTCTTCATGCAGAGGTAAAATTTTTGACAAGTACCCAGGTTTCAAATGAATTCTCTTCTTGACCCCACAGGTAAACTGTTTAGACCAAGAAGAAACAGAGGAAACTTGGACTGGCTCAAGCTGCAACTGTCTGTTAGAGATTTCAGTTCAAGCCTCAAGGATCCTGGCAAACTGCTAGGGTGGTACTTAGTTCAGCCAAGTCTACCTTCCCTTTCTGTATGTTGAAATGGAAGAAAGAAGAATCTAATAAGGTTAAGTTGTAGCAACGCAATAAAATCCACATGAAAATTCTCTTTTGCTAAACCCAGGAAGGCAGGACAACATTCTGTCTCTTCCTGATTTTTAAGCTGGTGCATACTAAGCAAAAGATGTTGCATAAGAACATCACATCTGCATGTGTTGAATACAAGAGTACAGCACTCCCCCAGACAGCTTATATTTCACATTTGGAAGGGCAATACAGAGAGGCAGGAAAGGAAATGTTTTTCACCATCTTGTCACAAATACAGAACAGAACAAGGTTGCTCTTCGATATATGCAATCCACTGTTTCAGACACAGCTAATCTGAAGCTGCACAAACACTTGCAGCACGTGCAAATCAGCAATTCATCCAGGAAAGTAGCAGCATTATACACATCCCCTTCCTGTGCACCTCAACCTAAACATAAGAGTAGGGGATGGTTCAGAAGCAAGAGATGCAGTACACATAGAGTCACAGATATATTTGGGCCCACACCAAAAAATAGATACAGTAATATAATTCCTATAACCTCAGAACCGGGCTTTCTATTCCTTCCACTATTTAGAAGTGATCTGATGTGATCCTTTTTCTTATTTCTACAATCCTGAAAATAAAGAGATTAAAACCATAACAAGCAGCTTGGGTTTTCTGTTTTAATTAATGGTGATCTGCAATCAAAGCAAGTACAACCAAAGACGCCAGGCTTTGCAACAGGATGCAGCAGTGTCTCCAAGTAAACTAGGATAATACAAGCCTCCTTTAAAAGCACCTAATGCAGAAGCCTCCTGGTCAATAGCAGCAGGGGTATTCTCACAGTTGACTACAAGTGCTATAAAGGTTCAACAAAACAAGGCAGACATACTGTTAAACTTTTTCAGGGTACCTTACACATCACCCGCCCCAGCGCCAGCTCAGCTTCGTATGTGAGCCCCACTGCAAAGCAATTGCTCCCCGAGTGCAGCAGTCACCTCAGGCCACATGTAACTACTGCCTCTTGGTTATTCTGTGGGGATTTGCTGTCTGCAAGGAATAATCACGATGGGCTTCAAGGGTGGTCTCTCTCTGCAGTGCAACTGGGAACGGAGACAGATCTGTGCATGGACTTCTGTGAAAGAGAAAAGTCACCCCCTTTAACAAAGGAAAAAAATATCAGTACCTGATCTCTCTCTCGTCTTTGTGATGGTCTCTTTGAAATGGCCGCTGCAAACTGCTAACAGAACAAGTGCAGCATTTCTGAGCATGTGCACTGTCTCTTTTTAACCTTCTCTGAAAGAGGTTATTACTATGGGGAGATTTCTGCCATGGCAACAATGCAGAGCACTGCAGCACACAGCACAGATTTAAAGAGGAACAGGCTGTGTCTCCCAGGTCTGGGGAAGGATGTTTCCACTTTGACATGTGAGTTCCAGCAGTGACTTACCTGCTCTGGTTAAGGCTTTCAAAGCCGGGCCATCTGATTCATCTCTCTTGAAGTCTGCTGAATGATTCTCCTGAAGTCTGCTCAGCTGGATGTGGTGCCCGATTCAAGCGACTTGCTTCCTTAGTGCCTGAAAATAACCACGACAAATTACACCTGCTTTATGAGAAACCAGGAAAAAACCACAAGATTGCACTTGGGAACTGCTGGACATGTTGCAGCTTATTCAGTGAAGGCCAGGAATTGTTCAGCCCACCATCTGCCATTTGAACGGAGTAACACAGGTCACCACCACCCGTGCCTGCTTTCCCGGGTGATTCTGTGATCCTAGTCTCGGCTGCCAGAAACAGCTGCACGAGTGCAGACACTTAAATTCTAAGTGGGAACTTGAATCTGAACACAGAGTAAACTTCACCCCCCTTTCCCAGCCTGCACCTCTGTTTCCCTTTCAGTGTCCCATGAGCTTTAATCCAGAACAACACTCATAGCGCTTGTGCTGAATGCAATACAATAATGGAGCGCAGATGATAAAAATGCTTTTGTCAAAACAAAGCTAAGTTCATCTGCCCCCACGAAACACATTTCCCATCACAAATTAGACACTAGCACTTCTTGTTCCAGAGAGAATGAGCTCAGCTGAGGGCAGGCGCAGCACTGAGAAGTGCTCGCAAAACTTCAAAGGGACCGTGCTCTGTGTTTGCTTTTGGCCAGTTCAATAGGGACTCAAACTTCAATGCTTTCATGGTGAAAGGTGGGGGCACTTCGTGTCCAGGAAGGTCAGGCATGCTCTTTTTTTTCATGAGCAAGAAAATCCTTCTCAGAATTATGACTAAATTGCTGGCTAACATTTTTCTTTTCAACATGTTCTGCAACCTCTCTCGTGTAAGATTTGTTCCCATTAATTCAACTTTTGAAGTAAGATGCTAAAATTTCAGGTTGTTCAGTGTGTAACTATGATGCTATATGAAGTTACAGCATCTATAAGCAGAGTCAAGAGAGGATTAATTATAGTACTGCCATCCTCATACATCACAATAATAGAAAGAAGGGGAAAATAATTTTTAGAGACTGTTCTTTTGGACAAACAAGATTTAGCAGTTATTGAAGAGATAACCACACAGGATTTGGTCTGATTAAGTATCTGCCTATATGCAAATTACAAATGCAGAACTTCATTCATGATCATTCTCAGCCATCTAATCTCACACCTTGGCCTCTCTTCCTGATAAATGACATAGATATTCATATGTATATATATATATATATACACACAAACCACCGTCAACGCCTTTTCTTAACCTGTGCTCTCGATCATTCCCAGTAAATCTTACCCTGTTCTCCTGAATCCTGCCCTTTCTCTGTCACAACAGTAACACCATGCAGCCAGCCCTGGTAGCATGGGTGTTATCACTGATTCATTCTTCTAGACCCATGCAATGGACTTCTGACTCCATTAAATAGGATTTAAAAAATCTGTTTCTGCCATTCTCAGCTGCCAAATTCCTTGCTCTAAGCACCTCATACCAGCTACTGTGACCTCCCTTCCTTAACCTTGTCCTAAATCTACTTTTCCTGCAAGGAACAACTTCCTTTTTAGGGTTTAACATATCCTCTTTATTCACTTCTCCCCACTCTGTACCATGTTAAGCACCAGCTTTTCTCTTCACTGAGGCTAATATTTTCTCAACTGGAAAATACCAGTTCACCAAGGAGGATACTTTCCACAGAGGAGGTAGAGACTCCATTTTAGGATATTTTTATTGAAAAATGTTTGGAAAAAAATATTTTAACAATTTTCAAATTGATAATTTCTGGCTTTCTGCTTCAAAATTATTTCCTTTTTAAACCTAAGCCTAAAAAATAACCTAAAAGTAGAAATACATTTCACGCTCAATTCATGGAACTGCAGAGCGGGAGCAGCTCTTATCTTAAAGGTATTGTACTGCATCCCCACCAAAATATTACGACCCCAATAAAATCTTTCCTACTTTTATTTCGCTCATGCATGAAGTGTGGGTGGTACAGATGCTAGCCCTAGAGCACCCCAAAACTGGAAGTATAGATCGGAACTGGGTCTACACAGCACCTGCACAACAGTCCTTAGTGGTGATTTCCCTGGTGTGCCCAAAGTTGAGGTGGTGGTCACGTGGCACCTTGGTCTGAGTGTGAAAAGTGATGTTTAAGTGAAAGCTGAAATGTCCAGACTCCCCAGCTGCCCAGTGGGATTATTCATGAGATAAGCAGAGAGAATTCATAGCTTCTTTTTATAATGAAGTCAAACACAATGGATTTTTTTTTTTTAAATCCCCACCAGCTAAAAAGCGTCAAAGCACTGTTTTTGAGATTTCAATTTTCATCTTGATAGCACATGTTTTGATACTATAAATAGTTCTGTGGGACTGGGAGAAAAGCTCAAGCCTTTACCTCTAAGCCTCTTCACTGCTTGGTCTCTCCTTGGCTTTTAAATCTGAAACTGCCACAGCAGAAAACTTTCTTTCCTCACTAAAGATGACAGCGTCTATCACTTCTCCTGTAGACGGTTTTATGCTTTCTCCCAGCCTGCCCTCTAAATCATGGTAAAAATCTCCCCGCAAGGTACCATCTTGTTTTCCATCAAATACTCTTCTAAGCTTTACCTCTGCCACGAATCCTACAAAGCACTGCTGCCTAGCAGAACCTGGGGAGGAAGCTGCCTGTGACGGCTGATGGTATGCAAATGTGCTAATTATACCAATATCTCACTGCCTCACACTTCTCCCTGAGTCCCCTCCTTATCATCCCACCGTAATCCCAGGCTGCGACAGCTCGAGGGCAGGGGCTGTGTTTGCACTTGTTGGCGCAGCACCACAAGGCTGGAGTGCTGATTGAGGACTTCAGGCAGATGTGACGAATAATAATGTTCAACTACCTAAAGCTGATCACATTGTCTCACACTCTGATGTATGAGCTATTCATACAGCAAGCCTCTTATTCTTTTCCTTCCAATGTAAAGCTCTTGGGAAGTGTCAGAGTGACCAGATTAAATGAAGCCTGCCTTTGTCCCCTGAACAGGTCTTGCATATCTTCGTAGCAGCAAATAATTGAAATTGTTCCTCCTTCCATTTTCCCCACCAGTAATTTTAGGAATAATTTCCTTGTCAGTAACACTGATTCCTGCAGCCCCTATCTGTCGGAGCATGGCTCATCTGAAATCATTTGAGGCTCCAAAAGTCTTGAGTTTCAGTGCAACACTAAGGCTGGGCTCATGTCCAAGTCTGAAGTTTCCACATAGCACTCAGGGAGATCTGCACTGTCAGAACTGCTTACTACTTTTTGATGAAATGCTAAACTGAGGTCAAATCTTTCAGCATCTCTCTGGGAGTTGCAAAGGACTTAAAAATCTCATGGCAATATTCAGGAAGGGTTAGCGTTAGCTGAGCTATCCTTGGCTTACACTATCCACCCTCCTGCACACACATCTTTGGGGAAACAAGCTGTGTTCCAAGCTGTGCTCGAGCTATTTCTGGGTACACAATAGTTGCAACTTTAACTAGTCTGCTAAGTCCACAGGGATGTCTTGAGTACTTTGCAGCAACTATACAAATATGCACACGTATTAATGGGCTTTGAACAAGAGGACAACAAACTATTATCTTTACGAGCTTCTCATTCTAGAACCAGACTTCAGAGTCCAGGGGCCTCTTCTAACATGGGCGGCCTAGAAAAGAGACTCTCTTAGCTGAGCAACAGTGCACCATTAGCCAGTTTCCTTATAAAGGCTGCCTTGAAAAACAGCAACTGAGGAAACTAAAGGAAAGGAGACTGTGAAAATTTGAAGCTTATCAATGACTGTTTTTTCCCCAAAAGATGTTTATTATCCAAGTCTCCATAAGGACTCTCAAACTTCAGAATCCAGAAGATCCATTACCTGCTCTAGGAATCAACTGCTTTGCAGTCAGTTATCTCAGATTGATCCAGGATGATTTTTATGACAGCAATACTTGGATCTCATTGATTATAATTTTGGCATTAATATCTCCATGATTTAATGGCTTAAAGATGGATGTACCTTCATATATCTATGTTTGAAAACAGCATCTTTCACCTGAGTTTATGTTTACAAGATCTTTGCAAGTGGACAGATGTGGCTTCTCCTTTCCTTAATTTTTTTCTCCTTTCTATAACGACAGTGCTACAAATTGCAAGCTGGTTAGTGCAGTACTATCCTGATGTTGCACCAACTGCGACTGCACAGTTTCCAGCTAAGAGATTATTCATGTCTGCCTTCAAAATGCCCTGTGAATGAATTCCTCTTTTGTTATTCAGGGATGTTTTTAGACACTAGCCAGTGACAAATGAGCAATTAATGTTTCTTAAGTATCATTACAGTGGTCACAATCTTGGTTGAGATGCTAGAAAACAGACCAGAACACCCCCGCTAAAAGCATGGCTAGTTACAGCATAAGCAACTGAGTCAAGAATCAGTGATCAGAGCTAGGACAGACTCCCATCCTCAGGAGGTCTAGAACTTGATCTAGGCATGGATCGAGTTTTAACACACACTCATTAACAGACTACACTCCCCAAGTCCTCAAGCTCACCTGGTTATCATTCTAGAAGGGAGACACAGGGACCACCGGGACAGAATGGGTTATTTGCTCCTTGGAAAATTTTTTCTAACTGTTGGCCAAAAAAATGTGGGTCTATAACCCTCAAAGCAACAGATTGGGTTCTTCTTCTCAAAGAAAAATCATGAAGAATCCTATGTTAGTCTTCTAATTTACTAAGTTAGTTAGTAGTAGCAACTACTGTCAAACCATGTTAGCATCCCCA